GTTCAGCCCAGAGAAGAGAAGGCTCGGGGCAGGGTGGGGGTGCCCAGAGAGGTTGTGGAGTCTCCACCTGTGGAGCTAGTCAGAATCCAACTGGACCCAGGTCTGGGTAGCCTGATCTAGCTGAACCCGCTTAGGCAGGGGGTTGGTCTGGATGATGCTGAAGGGCTCCTTGTGACTTCCGCAGTTCTGTGGCTCTGGGATCCCATGACATGGGGAAGGACAAAGGGAAGGAAGCCCTCTTCCCAAGAGTGACAATGTAGGTTTGGGTTGGAGAGGAGACGCAACGGCTCTTTCTTGCATGAGAATGATTCCTGAGGCGCACTTAATTCACAGAACACACTGAATAGGCAAGATTCTCCCATGATGCAGTTGATATCACGGCCTTTTCTTTCCATGACGCTGTCAGCTGCTGGGTTGGGTGAGCCGTTCTCAAGGGGTTAAACTAGCTTTCTAACTGAGCCCTGAATGTGCTCTCCGTAAGCTATTTTCTGCCAAGGGTCTTCCTAAGGGCCAGCTGCATGTTCTTGTTTGTTCAGGTTATAATCCACAGAGTTTAACAAGGGAGGCATTACGGTATAAGTAACCGAAAGAAAAGTGTCTTCATCCAAGACAGGTCTGGATTTGGGCCTCAGATAGATCATGGAGACACATTCAAAGTTCACAGCAACCACAACAAGACGAGAAAAGCACTTAGGAAAAGCTTCCCTCTTCAGTAGAGGGAATTTTCTTCACGATGAAGCCATTAGAAAGCAGCATCAATAGGAATGAGCCAAACATAACCAACAGGCTAAGACTGGACATGAAAAATCCAGTTCCATTGCTGTCCATGCAAGCCGTATAATCACAAGTGCCATGTCACAAAAGAAATTAATCTTACGGCCGTAGAAACTTAAGTTAAATACGGAAGATGTCTCTCTCAGAGACAGCACCAACCCAACTAGTGCTGAAAAGGCCACCGGATGAGTACAGGCTTTGGGGTTCGTGAGAATGAGTTTGGAGGCTTACATATTGCAAAGCAGCAATCATAACCCCTTGCTACCAGAAGGAAACAAACTGTGCACGAAGAACCAATGAAGAAAAACATCTGCATAAGACAAGCTATAAATGAAATGGTCTTGATTTCTTTTAAGAAATTTGCCAACACACTAGGGAGAACGACTAGTTAGTAACAGAGCTATGAAAATGAAGGCAGAGAGGGAAAGAAATAAATGGGGGAGTACAGTCAATCCCTGTTATGACCATAATGGTGACATTTCTGGCAAGTGTAAGCAGGTATATGATGGAAAACACTAGGAAGAGCACAAGCTGCGCATCCAGAAAGCTGGACAATTTGAGCAGGATTAATTCTGTTGTGAGGACTTGATTTCCTTTCCTCATTTTTGCAAAAAAGTTCTGCTGGAAAGAATGATCGTAAGACAAAGGAATGAAATACTAATACTAATGAAATACAGCTTAATCCATTAGAAAAGCTGATCTTTTCCCAAATACACCATTATGCCTTGAAATGCTACAAGGACTGAAACTATTTCACACCTTCAAACGGCCTTTCACATGAGAAAAACTCTAAGAGTAGTATTATAGCAATAATAAATTACTGTAGCTTCCTACTTACTTGCTGCCCAGCTAAGACTCCGGAGGAGTTTAAGCCATGTACCTAATAACCTTGTGACATGAAGGTCTACATACAGAGATAAAAATGAGGAAGCTTACACGAAAATCAGAGGAAATAAGAACAAAACCAAGGCTGATGTCTTCTGAGAAGAGAAGGCATTGTTCCCTTTGCCCAAAGGTTTGTTTTCAAACATCCTCCATCACAGATCTTTGAAAAGTTGTATCACATAAGTGCAACTTCTCAGACACAATGTCAATGACTTGATGAAACTTCACTTGCATGGGGAGTCCCTGCATTTCTCTCTCACACACCTGACACAAATATAGGGTATTTTTCCCAGCTAAGGGGCAAGACTGGAATGGAGGAGGGGAGAATGGATGCTGGCACCGGAACTTTCAAACGCCAGGTTTTGTCACTGCTTAATACGCCTCTACTAACGACCCTTCTCGGGTGATAGGCCTTGACAGGCAGGACCCAAGGGGACGCATGTCTGGGCAGCCTGTGGCTCTGGGATCCCGTGACACGGGGAAGGAGGTCCTCTCCCCAGGAGTGGCAATGTGGGTTTGGGTCGGAGGGGAGAGGCAACGGCTGAAGGGAGAGCTGTCACAGGGCAGGGCCAGGGAGGAGAATGGAGAGGAGAAGAGAGCGCTCGGCCCTGTAGCAGCTCCCCCCGTGCCAACCGCTGGGAAAGCCTCTGTCATGGAAAACAGGAGCGGAGCTGGGGAGCAGAGCTTCTCCCTGAGCTCACCCGCAAAGGGCGGAGCCAGCGGGGATGGCATCACAAGCGGGGAGGTGAGGTCACAGAGGAAGTCCTTTCCTATTGGTCCCTGCCACCCCAGGAGAGCCCTTGCTCCCACTGCCCAGGCGAGCAAGGGGCCCGAGCCCGCGCAGGAGAGGGCCTGAGCCTGAGCCCTTCTTCCGAGGGGCTTGGCCAAAGCAGGGTCTGTCCCGGCCAGAGCACGTGGGGACGCCGTGCCCAGACAAGGCTTGGCCAGGCCCAGGCAAGCTGAGCCCGGAGACAGGAACCACCAGCGAGGGTCAGCAAGGAAAGCAAGGACAGGCGGGCAAGGCAGGCAGGCTACAGGAAGACGCAGCATGGAGATACCTTGGGAGACAGCTGCGAGCGGCATGTCTGGAGCAGAGGAGGTCTGCACAATGCCTGAGCAGGAGAGGGAGCCCGAAGCGGCATGTTCTGGGGGCCCCTCCGAAGGCAGCGAAGTAAAGGCCAAAAAGAGCCGCTCCTCCCGGTCCTCCCGGGCCGGGCTGCTCTTCCCTGTGAGCCGCGTAGAGAGGCAGCTGCGCAGCGGCCACTTTGCTGAGCGCTTTGGAGCCAGGGCCCCCGTCTATCTGGCTGCGGTGCTGCAGTGGGTGACGCACAAGGCCATGGACATGGCTGGCAAGATTTCCAAGAAGAGCAAGCAGCAGCGCATTTCTCCATCGCACTTGCAGATGGCGGTGCAAAAGAGCTCTGTGCTCAAGCAGCTCCTGCGAGGCGGCGTGCCCGGGCGCCACGGCAGGGCTGTCCCGCAAAGCCAGCGTGTGGCCTCACCCTCCAAAAAGAAGATGACCAAGAGTAAGAAGAGATGCCCCACGCAAAGGGCTGCACCTGCCCGTGCCACTGCTGCTGTGAAGTAAGGAGAAAGCAGAAGCTCTTGCCCCACACTGGCAAGGCAAGGCAAGGGCTGTCATGTTTGCAAGGCTCTTGCCAAATCCAGCTCTGTGGTCTAAGGGTTCAATAAAAGCCTTTGTAATGCCGTGCAGTGCCTGGAGCATGCCTTGCAGGTTTTAGGCAGCGAAGCGTGAAGAGGGAGGTCAGGAGACAGCAACTGCCTCTCACCCAGTGGGAGAGAGCGCCCCGTCAGCCGGGAGTTTTGTTTAAGCAGCGACACCCGGTACTGTCCCAGTGGGGAAGAGTCTGTGGAGGGATTGCTCAGGATGGCCGGCTGTGTTTCGGTATTTTGCCGGCTGCCAGGGCCTTCTCACAGCCATGCCTCTCCTGGCCAAGGGAGAACGGTTCCCACGCAGGAGCCCAAGTGTGACCACAGAGAGAGAGGGAGTGAGCGTGTGGGTCAAAAAGGGGGGATGTGGGGGATACAGGTACCCCCTGGCAGTGACCACAGAGGAGCAGGTCCTCCCTCAGCCCCTTGCCATGTGACAGGATTGTCCCAAGCACGGGCTCTCCACCACATCCATCGTTCCCTCGGGGGAGGGCCGGGAGGTGGTCCTGATGATCCAGGGGAGCTCTTGGTCCAAGGCCAAGGCATTTCTCCTCCTCAGTGTTGCCCCATTCTCTGTGTCCCTCCTCTCTTTCTGGCTGAGGGGGCTTGCCGGGGTGGGGCTGGCCACTTGCCCATGGGGTCTGTAAGAGGGCCACTGGGGTGAGGCTTCCTGCAGGAGTTTCTCCTCAGAGGAGCTCCCAGCTGTGGGTGGGATCTCTTCGTGCCATCTCAGTCATGCCAGAGGAAAACCAGGCTACGTGGACCCCAGCGCTGGGCGTGCTCCAAGGACTGAGCAGTCTCTTCGTGTGAGCAGGCTCAGCATTGTGGTAGCCAGGCCATGGGGCCTTTTGTGCTGTGTGTTGCACTAGCGTCTCCTGGCTGGACAAGGGCACACAGCTGGACATGGGGATAAAGCTCTGCAAAGGGAGGCTGTAGCGCAGCCCCTGCTGAGAAGGAGGGCAAGGAACCTGCCTGGAGGGCAGCTGGCCCTGATGGGCGGCACCTGCCTCCAGCTCGGTTTTGCACTTGGTCTGAAGGCAGCTGGGAGGGGAAGAAGGGATCTGTCCCCCAGAGGATGGGTGCAGGCTGCGAGGGATGGTGAGGGTGAATGTTTCTAGAAGAGCAAAGGGCCCCGGAGGTTCCTCTTGCGCCGTCCCAAGGGGGAATACGGGAGAGACAGCAAGTGCCCCGCAGTCCAGCTGCGTTTGCCCTTCCTGGGTGGGGAGGGCAGGAAAGGCCTTGGGCTCATCACAGCCAGCACCCCAGCTCCCACTGCTGCCTGCCCCTGCAGAGCCCGATGGCCGGTGTCTTCCACACCTTTCTTTGCACGGCTCTCAGAGAGCCCTCAGATTCCAGATCCAGCCTGAGCACACTGCCCGCCTCTCTTCCGGGTGAAGCACACAAGGACAGGCCCTCCTGTGGGATCTTCCCATCGGGCGTATCCTGACTCAGGACCCTGGGAAGGCAGGAAAAGCCACTTCCTGACAGTGACTCTTGTTCATTTCCCCCCCACTTTTCCTATTTATTTCCACACTGCAAGGTCTTCTGGATGTTAAGTATGTATCCTACACGTCTAGGCTGAAGTTAGTTTTCCCTGGAACATCATGGGAGGAGAGGGAAGAGAAAGGAAGGGCGCACGTGCCATAGGGAAGTGTGTTGTCTGGTTTCCATAGGCAAATGCATTTCAGTCAATGCATTACTGCTCATGACAGGTGACCAAGCCTGTTGC